CTTCCTCCGGCCCGGCTCGGTTTTAAAAGAGCGACCCAACTAGCCGCTAACTAAACCCGAGCCGCTCAAGACTTTGAAGACGTTTCTTGTGTTATTGGCTCTTTTCTGGTAACTGAAGGACTGAGCGTTGGAGCCACGTAAACGTGAGAGGTTTTCCCTTCTTTCCCAGGACCTGGCAATCCGTGGCTTAGCTCACAATCTTTAAGAGCCGTGAAGTCCCATACAGACCGACCAATTCAATAGCACTGGCCATCATACCTCAACAGAAGTTTTGGGCTCTGAAAGTTACATCTCATAGTTCCATCTGTTTTTCGCCGCCAGACCATTACCTTTTTAGGTCTCAGCAGAGGGACATTAGGAGAGCGAGGGTGGAGCGCTTCTGAGCCGTGACTTTTTTTACTTACCTGAATCTAACCTGGGAGGTGGGCATGTTGCAACCGTTACAAAATGTTTCATACTTCTTTCTCTGCACTTTGAACTTGGATAACGTAAGAACGACTCTGTTTTAAAAACCAGCATGATGGTACCTTAAGACCACCGTGCTGCCTTCTGCAATGCATTTAAAAAATGCTGCACATTCAGGGCTGCTCAGGGTTATATCGTCACCAAAATGCTCCCTGAGAGGTATTTAGTCCATAATCTACCGATAGCAGTCAAACATCTGACTCATGGGGCGGTGTTATCTCTATATCTATACCTTAAATGGTACAGGTAGGCTGAACTTTTTCATCTTTCTAATTTTTCAGTGCTGACTTACATACCACAGAGAAGCATTTTGCTCACGTTGCCGCTGTCATTTTCTCTGCCCTCCACATGGGCGCGTCTAGACAGGGACTTCCAGCCCCCAGGCACCCGTCGAGCCCCAACGGCCGCTTGTGGGCTACTTGGGGGCTTGTCCTCCAGCCTGCCCATCACGGTGAGGGCTGCACCCACACTTCTGAGCCTCCTCACAGCAGTGGCCGTGCAGGAAAAGGATGTTCTGCAGGGTTTCTGCCTCACGTCTCACAAAAGAGTGATGTGTTGCTGAGGAATCACACGGGAGTTTGTGTTGTTACAGTCAGGTTGCAGCAGTCAGTCGCAGGGCTGGGAAAGGAAAAGTGCAAGCCACAGGCAAGGAATTTATCTCCATTGTAATTCATCACTACTGTTCCTTCTACACCAAAATTGCCAGGTGATAAGTCTGCCATAGGGTGATAAGTCTGGGCGGACCTGAGCAAGAGCTCACACTACTGTGTCAAGCCATTTGGCATCAGGAGCATAGAGCAGGTTGAGGTCCATGGGCAGGAGGAGTAATTGTCTTGAAAGGAGAAGACAGGGCTGACTGGGGCAGAGGATGGCTCTGGAGAAATCCCTGGGGCAGAAGGGAAGGAGATGATCTGGACTGAAAAACTGCAGAACAAAATCGTGAGGGAGATGGACGGTGGTATCAATGGCTGGAGAGGGAGAGTGCAACCAGGCTTGGGCTTCAGTTAGAAATGAGAGGGAAGAGCAGTGGCCAGCGAGGGAAAATGGGAAGAGAGAGGCTACATGGTGGGTATGGAATCACAGAGACAGGAGAGAGAAAGAGCGTGTGGTAAGGACAGGCTTACAGCAGTGGCAGGGGCAGGAGGTCTGATATTGCTAAACAGATCCACTGCATAGAAAACTGGAGAGAATAAAGGACAATTTCCAGATAACCCCAGGTAGGACATCCAAAAGTCAGCTTGAGTATCCAAAAATTTGAGAGAGCTGATGAACTGCCCTCACCTTGGTAGCATAAGCCTGCTCCTTTGAGATGCTGCTGGCTCACATGCCTTGGTCCTCATAAACCAAATAATTGAGTTGCACTTTCTTTCCTGCCTAGCAGCTCTGCAAACTGATAAAACCTGTTTGCTCTTCCTAGATGAATTTGTTTTACTTGTTGGAGGCCACACAGTCTGCAACTCTGGCCACGGGCAGCTCAGATCCTCCCGACACCCCCTTCCTGGCTCTTGGTTGCCCCATGGGACCTGCACAAACATGCATCCATGAGTGCACCCAAGCCGGTGGCTCAGTGAATACCCCCTGCGGAGCTGTGCAGGGCCACAAGCTGTGGGTATCTTCCCAGGGCAGGCGTGGCTGCCTGCTGCTTCGCAGGGCTGGTGGGAGTTCAGCAGAGGGTAGGAAGTGCACAGAGATGTTTCAGCACAGTTTTATTTTCTTTGTCTGTCAGTGTTGCCTCTTGAGGTGCCGGAGGAGAAAATCACATAGTTATGAGGAGGAGAGTGTTCACCTCTCCCCAAACTTTCTTCAGGATCATAGGCTTTTGGATTCATACTGTACTGCTGGTTAAGGAAGAGCACGAGATGTTTCCAGCTGTCATTCCTGCAATGTGGTTGTAGGTAGCCAGGTAGACGGAAAGGCCCAGAAATGTGAAGATCACCTGTCTTTGTCTGGTGTTTGCATTTCTCGATTACACTTAAGGAGTCTTTAAAGAGTGATGATGTTCCCTGAATATACATGTTCCAGTAAGTTAGAGGAGAATAAGCAGGGTTGACAGGCCCGGGGGATAGCCTCTGCCTCCTCAGAGACGCTGAGGAGGTAACCTGGAGGAAGGAGCAGAGCCTGCTGCTTTGGCAGAGGTCCCCAGGGGTGTGTTGCCGTCCCTGGGAAGAGGCAGCAGAAGCCCTTCGGCCTTTTCTGTCAGGGTGAAATCCTGGCCCCTGAACCAGGTGATGAGAGAGGAGCCTCTGCAAATCTTTTCCCCCAAGCCCTCTGCCAAGGGTAGGGATGAGCTGGGATTAACATTTTCAAGTCAGTATGTGAAGCTAATTTTAGAAGCAAACCACGGGGGGAATACCTCACCTACTGCCCAGTCAGAGCCGTCTGGCTTAGACTTTTGTCTATTTTTATTCTCAAAAATTCAAAAGATCAGATTTACTTTTTAACTAGAGGCTTGTTCAAAGATCACCATTTTCTCTATTGCTATCCGTGTAAGTATGCAGAACTCCTGTTACAGTTTAACAGGAGGCCCTTGGGGCCGATGCAGTCCTTCAGACACGCCTGACTATTTTAAATGGTGTCATGTGTGCCATCTTGCACCTGCCCGTGCACTCACTGCTCCTCCACGGTCTGGGCATGGCCCACTCGGTTCTGTGCGGGGAGTGGAGGTGGTACCCAGACGGAGCATTGCACTTCAGCGGGAATATGATAGGCCGGATCAGAGCGCTCTCCACCGAGCAGCGTAACTGCAGGGCAGCAATTCCAGCTGAACAATTACCTACGTGCTTTAGCTCTAGAGATGCGGGAATATGATAGGCCGGATCAGAGCGCTCTCCACCGAGCAGCGTAACTGCAGGGCAGCAATTCCAGCTGAACAATTACCTACGTGCTTTAGCTCTAGAGATGCTTATTTTTAGTTTGTTAGTTATTTTTCATTGAGGGGCCCTTTCAGGTGTCCTCTGGGCAGGACTGGATGTATCTCACATGCTGCTCAGCAGTAGGTTGCTGCTGGGAGAGACGGGGGCAAAAGGATCCCCCCCTTCCACTGGTGCAAAGTGTAGTGTGTTGTGTTGTGTTTTGTTGTGTTGTGTTGTGCAAGAGCCGCCACGCTCCTGTACAGAGTCCTTCCCCATGGAAGCTACGCCTTGCTCCATATTGCTTTCACTGACTTTTTTTGCCTTTTCCCAATGTTTTGGGTGACGAACATAAGTATCAAGTGATATGGTACTGGTCCTTTGCTCTACCGTGTGGGAGACGGTGATGCTACTGTCTCTACAAGGGATCTGCTGGGTCAGCAGAAAGCATCCTTTTGACTTCAGAGAAAATTTGGCTGATCCGGATCTGGTGGCTGTTCTCAGGAGATGATCCACTCCTCCAGCCATGAACAGAGG